GCACCCACGGGGTTTCCAAGGCTACGCAAGGGGCCAGAAGAGGCAGCAGGAGGCGGGTCCTCGCTCCCATAGAGGTCTTGCTCTTGGACACCTCGCCCTCAATCCACACGGTGGATCCATCCAAGTCAGAAAAATCTACCTCCAAGGTGATTGTGCGCGCCGCGTCGCTCGCCCTGGCGCAGCTGAAGAGCATGAACAGCATTGCACCTGCAATCACCGAGTCCGGGGCGTTATCGTCGTCAGCAGCGACGGCTTCAAGGAACTTGACTTCTGCGACCGCCAGAGCTGGGGCCCTACGAGGGGGAGGGGCCTTAGCCTCGAAGCCTTTACACAGGCCCGTTATACGGGGGCTGTTCAGCATGTTGTCGTCCACCTGGAGGTCGAGGACGCCTCGACACCAGTTCACGCACTGGGTAAAACCTCCGGGCTTAGACCAGGCAGCATTGGAGCGGTCGAGGTGCGACAAGTACATCCAAGACAAGAGACACGCTCAGTGACCGGAAAGGGGCACACGCAGGCTGCATCCGACCAGGACACGAAATGGTTCAGGGAGGCCAAACGGCGCACAATGGTACCCGTGGCTTTGTACGCGCACGCGCTGGCAATGCTGTACGACAGCTCATCCGGGTCCAGGTGCCCCTCTGCACGGCAGAGCCAGGCTATACCAAAGGCGTCGTGCCACGACTCCACGATAGACTGCAGCTGGAAGAGGGCTGCGTCACGTCGGGCATCTTCGTGCCACGGCTTGGCTGAAACCTTCACAGCCACGCATGCGGTGTTGGCGGCCTGCACGACGCGTGGGCGCTTGCCTTCTCGAGGAACCAAACATGGCTCGGGGACTCTTACACGTGCGGGCCGTGAAACGTCAAGGGACAAGGGCAACTCCAGACAAGACTGGAAGTTAACTTCTCAAGGCAGCTGTACACCCGCCTGGGGCAACCTCGCCCAAACGCGGTCGGCTCTTTCAGATGCCATCATAAACGGCTATCAGACGCAGAGTCAAGACACCAGAAGCTCACGTGCCGACGGGGCACAAACGCGAAGCAAACGTGCTTAAGAGCGACCCGGCCTGGAGCAGGCAAGGGGCAGTGCGAGCTTGGAACAGCTTGAGCAAAACTGAGCGACACGCTAGAAGCTCAAAGCCCAACTCCCATGCGGTGTCAAGACGCCCCAGTGTCGAAATAAAACCAGGGCAACCACAAGTTGCAAAACGAGACTCCCTCGTACACGCGGACATCTGGGGCGAAGCTATGGCAACGACGGGCTGCCTAAACTTAACTGGCAGGGTGCAACGACTTACCAAGTCGGCCCACGGGGCGCCCTGACAAAGCCCTGGACGTCCCAGGGACAAAAAGCAATCCCGACCCGGGAAGCATAGCAGGAATGGCGACTAGCCCGCCAAAGGCCACGAGGCCACTAACCCTCCTACCCGGAGGAAAGACTCGACCCTCCTACCCGGAAAGTGGTCCCCAACCCTCCTACCCGGAGAGTGGTCCCCAACCCTCCTACCCGGAGAGCGGTCTTTTTGTGCACTTCGCGACCTGGGTGACCCTGTCGAGATTCGCAGCGACACGGTCGGCTAGGGACGATTGCCCCACACCCGGACGCCAGGCAGAGGGAGCGTACGACGCGACACTTAGGAGGCCTCTCCATTCCAGCCCGGTACGACCAGGGGGCGAGCGCCACACAGCATCACCGCGTACGACGCGCATGTGCTTGTCTCACGGAGACCCTGCAGCAATCTCTGCAGTAAATGACCCCGCACCGGGGACAGTACCAGTGCTTCTGGGCCTTCCCTCGGCGTACGACGCCGTCCCACTGCCACTTGCAGACGCTGCAGGAGAAGGCGTGGATGAAGTCAGCCTCAAGCGGCACCCCGCAACGCTGTCGCACATCATAGCCCGTGCGGGGGCCGCACCCTGGGACGTACGACGTCCAGCGGCACCATGCCCCGAGGGCACGGCCCTGGGCTGTGGGACGGCTGGACTGGGGCCGCAGGTCAACCCGAGAACTTCTGGGGCCGGCGGGGGGGTGGGAGGCACGGCCTGACCCTCAGGCGGCGGTCCACGGGACGCACCGCGACGACGGGCGTCGACAAAGACGCGGGGCTGCTTACGAGCAGGCCGGGCGGCTGGGCACGGCCCTCTCATCCGGGTTGTAACTTTCGTACGTGTGTTCGTACGAAGGGCTGGGCGGCTCGCGCTTGTCGGTGCGCGCGCGGCGCCTGGAAGGGACACGGTCCTTAGGCCTAACCACGGCCGCAGTGGCCTCTCTCCGAACGTGGGAGGGCTGGGCAGGGTCATCCGCCGGCTCCGTGCCGTGCGAGTCGGAGTCTGAGGAGGACTCCTCTTTCTTAGCAGGAACGTCCTGCTTTGCGCCGGGAAGGAGGCAGTGGGAGGCTCGGAGGCAGGGACGTCCTTCTGCTCCGAGAGCAACCGGGGCTCTTGTGAGGGAACGTCCCTCGGCACAGAGGCAGAGCCGACGGCCCCCGACGCGGGGGCAGGCAACGCAGGGAACGGCGGCTCAAAACCGAGAAGAATGGCCGCGAAAGGGTTACTGCCGGTACGACCGGGCTCCCCGACGCAGGTCCAACCGGCGGCCACCGCCACCTCTATCACGTCAGTGGCGAACGCCGCCCCGCCCTCTCCGAGGGATGCCTCTGCCTCACGGAGGCGAGCCAACGTGGCCGAGTCAAAAAGTGGTCTGCGAAGTCACAGTCATGGCTGACGCAAGGCACTACACTGCTACAATGCTACACTGAAAGCTGGAGATGCTACAAGCGGCAGCTCTCGACGCGAGGACACCTCGTCCAAAATTAACCAGGCACTTCGCCTGTTAGGCAGGGAAAAAACCCTGACGAGCACGTCGCTCAAGCACTTCGCTTACAAGCACGTCGCTTGGGGAGCACATGGCCCAGGCACTTCGCCAATCGGGGTTTTCCGCACCTCGCGGTTCCTGTGCAAGCAAAGGGTCTTGACAAAGACACCCGGTGTCAGCACAGGGAATTTAGGGCACGGCCCAAGGACTTGCTGACAAAGCACGTCCCGAAAGGGGGCAGACGTCTGCCGAACCGAGGCACGGCCTCAACGACGTCCCTCACGGATACGACCCTGCCTGTTGGGCCGGGCGGTCGGGGGACCGCTTCGATTGTGACAACGGTCACACTCATGGTGGCCATGGCACTTTCGACGGAAAGGCTGCTCATCCCGCCCGCAAACGTTGCCGCACACGGGGCACGGAAACTGACACGCCAGAGAACCGTGCAGCTCGGGATGCTTTGCCAACCTGTGTTGATTGCGATAATAGGGCCACGAGCCCATCGACGGAATTGTAACCGGCAACGTCCGGTTCTGCGGGAACCTCAGACCTACGAGATCCGGGTGGCCGCGCCATTCGTCGTCGTATGGATTCGACGGCCACGCCCATACCGTGCCAGTTAGGGCGAGTTGCTCCAAGAGGGGGGGAGGGGGCTCCCCTGGTCCACGCGACCGCGGCTGCTCGGGGGCCGGCTCCTCCTCAGAGCTGATAACGGCAGCAGGCACGGCCTGCCTCTGCCGGCACGGCCGTTTGCGACTCGGTCGTCGTCGCCGGAACGCCGGCAGGCTCAGCAACGTGCTGAGGAGGAAAACCCGGAACGTCCAGGTCACTTTCCGATGACTCATCGTGGGAATCGTCCCACATCGTTGCGAAGCAGTGCTGGAAATAGCACAGGTTGCTATTACTCAGCTCTTCGCGCATGGCTTGCACAAGAACGTCTTGCTCGACATCCTTGAGGAAGCGAAGGGCGGCACGGGCCTCTTGGATAGCCGACGAAACGTTCGCCGGCGCAGTACTTTCCGCGGCCGCCCAAGGGTACGGCGCCAGGGTCGAGCACCTGCGGGCAAAACGATAGGGGGTCTCCTGGCTCCCACGACGCGAGGGAGCCTGCCTGGTGATCGCTGGGAAAGGTGCTCCAGGAGAAAGCTTCCGACGCAGAAGCAGGGGCGGACGCCGCCCCGGGAGCCTGTGCAGCGGACGCAGACGCTGCGTCTGCATCAGCACCGACATCTGCCCTTTTCGGACCCATGGCACTCAGAAACTACAAGCTTCAAGCACACGACAGAAAACGGAAGCTACGCTTCGAGCTTCAAACGACTGCGAGGGACAACGTTCGCCCCGACCTTCGTCTTAACAACGTGTTAGGCAAACGTTGCCTGCATTCGTTGTTGTTGTTGTTGCACCGCTGCGGAGGAACGAGTCTCGTGAGACCAGAGCCTCGCATTGCGTCGGCTAAGCCACGCACGCGTGAAGGAAGCTGGTTCTAGCCCACCTCCCCCTCCACGCCACTAGAGGCAAGTCCTCTGTCTCTAGGTAGAGGTGGGTGGCCCCTGACCCTCGAAGCACACCAGGGGTTGCGCCCTTTTGGGAGAGCCTGTGCGGGACGCCGAGGCGACTCATGATGGCGTTCCACTGCCGCCTGTAGGTGTGCATGGAGCCACGGAAGAGGCGCGACTGCAAGGGCAGGTCAAGGTAGAGAGCTTCAAGAAGCAGCAAGGTGAGTGGGTCCTCAAGACGCGAGTGCTGCCGGCGGGCAAACCGCTGCGTCTTAGGGTTGCGAATGTGGACGTAAGCAACCGGGTCCGGCGACAAAGCGTCCTCAGGAAAGACCAAATCCTGGCGCTGAAGGAAGATCATCTCGGCAGGATGCAACATACACACGAAGCCCACGAGGGTGAGCGCAGCCCAGTCACACCAACCCCAGCACAGACTGAGAGCCACAGCAGCCTGAAGCACCGGAAGGGAGATGACTGGCCGACATTCGCCAGGCTCGGCAAGTTGCCATTTGCGATCCACTTGCCAGGCTGGAGACAAATGGGAACGGAAGTCAGGACGACAGTCCTGGATCGAGGTGATTGCGTAAACCAACAGGTACCTGGGCTGGCCAGAGGAGTACAAGTAAAGACCAAAGGCACGAAGGGCAAGAGCCGCAGCTTGAGCAGAGCTCAGAACGCTGAAAAGACTTAGTCCGAGAAATTCCTGGAGCCATAGAGCAAATGCGCTGAGGGCTTTGTCCATCCTGTGGCGAGTGGAAGGAGCGAAACCACCTTGCATGTCCAACGCACCCCGAGGAGCCCCGTCATGAAAGGGGCCGGGGTTTCTCTCGACATCCCCTGCGAGCAGTAAGAGGAGCCGAAGCCACCGGCCCAAAACCCGCGGGACAGCAGCCGCAGCACAAACAAGGTCAAAATGACGGAAATCGCCGGCGACAAGGGAGTGCAACCAGGAGGGCCACTCTTTGGAAGCCGGAGCCGGCGGACGACCACGAGAAGGACCGTCACTGCGGTTGCAGAGTAGACGTGAAGACCCCCCGGGTAAAGGCCAGAGCCTAGATTGTAAGGCACTGTGGAGCGAAGCACACGGCAAATGGCCGGACTGGCAGAACGTCCTTTAGCGGCGGAACCCAAAAGAACCCGGCTGTCGATCAAGCCGACGATCCTCGAGTTTGGATGATGCCGCGCGCACCACTTTAACCAAGTCTTGTAGGCACGGGTCTCAAGGACATTGATGTGCCCAGGTGAAAGAAACTTGTACCGCAGGAGTTCGCAGAACTCCAAGGAATCTGCAAGCTCACCAATCCATTCTGGATCGTCATGGAACTGTCGGGCTTCAAAGCTACAGTCACCCTGAAACAGAGGGAAAGGGACTAAACCACTAAACCCTAGGGCATGGAGGGTACTGAGTGTGGCCGAAAGTGGCATGGGGACGAGCATGCCCGTAGCGGCAAAAGAGCTGCCAGAGGCCGCACGACAAGCGAAAGGAAGGGGCAGCACAGCACAGAAAGTCGAGACCAACTCACCAGGCAGAGGGTTTCTCCCGAAGACAGCGGCAGAGCTCGGGCGACAGCGGGCGTTGAAGGAAGCGCAGCTCGCAGCAGTGAAGCGGCCCGCCGAAGGAAAGTGAGGAACGGAAGCGTCACAGAAGCACCTCCCCACCAAACCGCCAAGCTTATGCAACCAGGGCTTGTTGTGAAGCAGAGCAGTGGGCCGCTGACAAGGTGAGCCGAATGAACACAAAGACAGTTCAGTAAGCACAGCGCCGAAAGCCACAAGGCCGCGGAAACAGTGAAGCCGGAACATCAGGCTGGCAGCCGGCTGGGAGACGCTCACGAAAGAGCCTGCTGAGGCAGCGATGCAGAGGAGGAAGCACAACCTTCGCACACGCGTGTTGTCCAGGGCAATCTCGTAAGCATCTAGGTTGAACCCAGTGGGGCGCAGCGCAGAGCGTGAGGCACATCCGCGGTCCATAAACGAAGCAGCAGGCGGTGAGGCATGCCAGTCGTGAACCGTTCCAGACAGCGCAAGCTGACAGAGGTCCCGGAAGACGTTTGAATCATCCAAGTCGCTGAAAACCAGGTCAGCAAGCCAAGGTTGCACCTCAGACAAGTTTTGTAACCCAGCACGGGAATGGGCCACGGCCCAATTATCGGCAGCACCGAAAAGGCAGACGAAGGAAGGAACGCCCGGACGAGGCTCGCGCAATGGCAATGGCTCAGGCACAAGAGGTGAAGATGCCGAAGAGATGCCATCCACAAAACCGGCCCCCGGATCATCACTCAAACCGAGGTCAGCAAGCAGAGCCGAGGCAGGCTCCAGCAACTTGGTGTAAAAACCCTTCTGTTCAGTGTGCCTCCACAACTCCTGCAGGACGTGGCTCGGCAATGTGGCATAACAGAGTCCTGCACCCGACGGGCTCGCGTCCATGCAAAACAGCAAGCCTGGAACGGACGCACGAAGATCGGCCTGAAGCAGGGGCGCGATAGCGCACAGACACCACAACTCGTTCACGGTGTCGCGATGCAAGGGTAGCACTTTGTTGGACGGTGTACGTCGGGCATCGACGAAAACCTGACTCAACACCGCAAAGGCTGGACGCCTGAAAAGCAGCACATGGATCCAGAGTCCGACCACTGATGAAAGAAGTGACGAGGAGCAGCAGCCCCGTCGAGCAATCACAGCAGTGATTTTCACAAGGACCCCAGTCCGGTGCCGAGGTGCCGAAACAAGACCAGCGAGGCCGTCCAGGTCAGCGCCCAAGAAGACGCCTGAAGTGACGTTCCTCTTCCGTTTTCCCGGGTGCGGCACGAGGCCCACAGCTGGATAGGCAGCGTCAGCACCAAGGAAAATGGCAGTATCACGCAACGGGGCTCCAGTTCGAAGTTGCGCACGTGAGCAGACCTGTGCTGTCATATGATCATCTATCGAAAGAAATTCCAGGCACGGAGAGCGCGGAAAAGGGCGCCTGTATGCCACGAATTCAGTGGACCTCATGCTGTTTCCCAAACTGGCCAAGACAGTGAAATGCGACTGTTGTGCATTTTCCACCGCCCCGCAGTCTCCCATTGCGAGCGCGTTCAGCGCTAAGAAACATGGTTCGTTATGAAGGTTAGGGTTGAAGGCGCTAAACCCAGCAAGTTCATGAGGATAGAAGGGAACCCCCAAACAATTACGACGGGCTCTTAGGGGTGGGACCACAAAAGTATAATACATTTCGCTCAAATCATCACAACAAACTCGCAACACATGATTATCAGTCGGCAGGCTCGCCTGAGCCAAAAGACATCCCGGTGCTAAGAGTTTCGTGAAGCAGCTTAGTTTGTGTGCCCTGGAATTAGTCACGGAGGGATTTAAAATGAAACGGTCAAAGGAACTATCCTTTGGAACCCCGAAGCAGCCTACGGCCTCTAAGGAGTCTACCTCTGAACATTTGAAAAGCTTAAGGGCCTTGAACTTGTCCCACTTTGCAACCAACTTGAGTAGCTCGGAGCGGGAAGCGTGCACCTTCGACCGAGGGAGCTTTGGCCACATGTGGCTGGGGAGCTTCACTGATTCAGGGTCCAGGTACGTGCGGCGAACTTCAGGTTCGCTGAGAAAGGGAACAGGATCAAAAGACGGAGGCAGTGTCCATTTTATACGATCCGCCAGGACTGGCTTGCAAGTCAACCCTGAATCAACCGAAGAAAAACCCAAGCAACCTGTACCATGAGAGGCCCGGGCGGCCTCTTCCACGGATGCAGCCTGAGCAGGATCGGGTGGTTCAGGTCTATGCGGGGGTCGGGGGCGCCGGCTATAGGGACACCACTCGGATTCAAGAGCACAAACGAATTCAGAAAGCAGGCAGTCCGGGTCATAAGCACACGACGAATCGGCCTGTGACAGTTCCAAGGCCCTGGAAAGGCTGAAGAATCCCGCCCGAAGGAAATGAAGGCAGTGGCGCTCCAGCGTATCCAAGACATTAAGCTGGTCAACTGACGGGACCGCGCCGCGAGCTCTTGCACGGTCCGGGGCAGCAGAAGGACATCCCAAAGCAAGCCAGTTAAGACAACCAAGTTGAAGTTTAAGAAGCTCCCTTGCAACCTTAAAAAGCTTAGCTCTGCGGCGCCGTCGCGGGCTGAGATTGCAAGATGCATGGGCCGTCCAACGAGCAGTTGGCAGAGGGACAGGCCAAACATCGCTTGAGCGTTCGTCAGGCACAGCTGCGCAGGCGGGAGCGCACAAGGATTGACGAAGGAATGAACCCAAGCAACACCTAGAGCTCCAAATGAAACCTAAAAAACTACCAACCCAGCTTACAAAGCAAGCGTCGGAATCCGGGATTGCTTCGGGTGCGGGAGGAACCTTACAACCAGAGGTACTATTACTAGCAACGCCTGATCTTATCGGTGCCGCCTGCGCCGCTGAGGGCATCACCCCAGCAAGGTTGGGATCTGTCGAATTCAAGGGCGCGCACGAAGCGGCTGTAGACACGGCTGGCTCCACCGGGCCGGTCTGGCATGCAAGGCTGCTTCTCTCACTCAGCTGTCGCCTGAGCCCTTGGGCTGGCGTCTCGGGCGTCTCGGGGGCTTGCCTGGGCGACCTTCCTCCTGCTCGGCGTCGTCCTTTGAATGGTCTCTTGCAGGATCGCTTGTGCTTGTGGACGACATCCGGGTCGAAAGCCACTCCATCTCCTTCAGGTAAGCGACGTTGCCGCTGAGCCAAAGGCTGGGGCACAGCCGCGAGAACGGTCGAAGCCCTTGGCGACGGCGAACCAGCGTCCCCCAGGCAGGGTCCGGTAGCCCCGTGAGGAGCCACGACAACTGGGTTCTGCCTCCCTCCATAGCACATTGATCTGCAAACATAATGAGGCGAGCACTCCAACTTTCCAGATCGAGGTTCTGGGTGAGCCGGGCGTGCTCCCACGCGTGAGCAGCGAAGGTCTCGACGAGCGCCAAGGTTCTCAGCTCGCCGACCGGGCTCCGCTTCTCCACGAAAGTGCGCATAAGGCTCGGGGGAGGTGACGTTGCATCCTCGCCCAACTCCTCGGCTGCTAATCGCCTGATCTGTTCGGCAACCACAGCACTGTCCTTCAGAAGCCTCACGTAAGCGTCTCTCGCGGCGGAGCCTTTGGCAGTCAAGCTGCCGTCGTCTCTGCCCCTGCCGGTGTTGAGGGCAGCTTCCAAAGGGCTGCGGGGCTTGCCTGCCGTCAGCTTGGCAAGCATCTGGGTTTGCACCAGAAGCAGCTTCTGAAGAACAGCATCGCCCGAAGCCCCTGGCAGTCCATCGTCCAAAGCGACGCCAGCTTCGATATCGGCCAAGGTATCGTCGGCCTGTCTGGTCATCGCCGTCCTCGAGGCTCTTTCGTGCTGGGCCAAGCGCGGAGGTGCCGAGCCGGCAGCTTCGCGTAGGCGTTGCAAGTCGGCATCGGTCAAAACACCAGGCTGAGTTGCAGCCACGACGTGTCTGGGCCCCTGAGGCTCGGCCCGTAAAGCCACCGATGCCGCCACCGGGTGGGGCAGCTGTGCTTGCAGCCAACTCCAAAGCCTGAAGCCGAGCACGAAGCCGAACCAACTCGCCGGGGTCGTCGTCCAGGTCGTCGCGGTCTGCTGGCTCTTCCAAGGGTTCTCCGTCCACATCCTCGGCAGCGGTGACATATTCCCCCAAACCAGATTCCAGAAGCTCCGGATCCTCGGTGGCAACAGATATCCACATATTTGCTGCAACCAGGGCGGCATCCCGATTGGGACGGACTGTCACTTCTCCATCCTTTATCGAAATGAGCTCGAGAGGGCTCCCTCGCAAGGCTGCGCCCGAACGAAGGAAGGAAAGCCATGACCAAGGGATGTCCACTAAGAGGAGGGGCTGCTCGCCCACGTTGCGCCTTCTCGGAGTCTCGCAGACGATGTTCATCGGAATGTAAAGCAAAGGTGCCTCTGGATCGCCAGCATTCAGGGATTCGAGTAGAGAGCGGATTTCGTCGGTGCCTGGTAGAGCAGCCATCAAGCCCCCGCCTCGCACTCGAACCAAAAAAGCAGTGATCCTCATAGTGGCTGCCTCGGCATTGTCCAAGAAGTAGATCACAGGTAAAGGTCGCCCCGACGGCGCGGCCTCCACCAAGGCTTCGATGTCCTCGCGGCGCAAAAGGCCACCTCTCAAAGCTCCTGAGGCCATGGTCGCCTCGCACCCTGGACGAAGCCCCCCGCCTTCGAGGGGAAGTCTTGGCACACAGCGCCTCGCTTCGGCCTTCCAGTGCAGTCTTTGGGGACCTGTGAAAAGGAAACGTGAGGATCTTCAGCCACAAAACCGGCGCGCTCGGGAGCACACCTCAATGACTGAGAGCTCTCTAGGAGCTGCACAACCAAACTTTCCACAGAGTTCTGGCTCCCACTCATTCACGCAGGCGGTACTCCCTCAAGCGTTGACCCAGGTGAGCTCGAAGATCAGGAGCTCCTTGGGCCAAGTCCAGCCAAGCAACCAACAGCCTCAGAAGAGAAACCAGTGAACGTCGAACTGCCGCAGAAAGAATGAATGCAGCGGCACAGGCCCCGCAGATGCACCCCAGGGTGCAGCAGATGAGGCCCAGGAGAAGGCCCGCCCAAAGTGGAAAGGAATTGCACGATGGAGCGAAGAATCTAGCCTCTCGGATGAGCTCGGGCAGGGCCGCCCACATTTGAGAAGAAAAGCAGCTACAAGCAAGTCGTATGACATCGGCTCCCGTGTGATAATATGCAAACCCTAAACCCTAAACCCTAAACCCTAAACCCTAAAACCCCAAACCCTAAACCCTAAACCCTAGCGCGCGCGCATTGCTAGCCCAAGGGGCGTGGCTCGCCTGGGAAACTGCCTGACGTAGAAGGCCCACCAAGCATTATCCAGGAGCTCATCGTCGGAGGCATCACGGGCCTTCTGCAGCTTCTCCTTTTGCGGGTTCAGGGTCTATAGGGTTCAGGGGTTTAGGGTTGTGGGGTTTGGAGCTTGGGGTTCAGGGGGAGGCGTTAGGGTTTAGGGTGTAGGGTTTGGGGTTTAGGGTTCAGGGTTTAGAGGCTCGCTTCCTCTACACGAGTATTCACCAGGCTTTTCCAAAGCAGGGTTTCAAAATGACTTGCAGAGGGCTTTTGCAGAGCTTCATGAGCCCAGAGACTCCAATACTCCTAAGGGTTTAGAGTTTGGGGTTTGGGGTTTAGGGCTTAGGGCTTAGGGTTAGAGACTCCAACTCCTAAATTACGGAGTATAGGGGATTAGGAATCTAGGGGTGCCCTTTTCGGGGGCCCCTTTAAGGGGATTCTCTTCTGTTTGGCATATACAAGGCCCCTATTTTGACAAATACCCAGATTCCTTAAACCATACAAGGAGCCCAACTCTGACTCAAGGAATAGTCCTTCCTTTAAGGGTGTACTGGAGTCTCTGGGAGGTTGAGGGCGGGAATCATTTGGTTTAGGGTTTAGGGTTTAGGGTTTAGGGTTTAGGGTTTAGGGTTTGGGGTTTGGGGTTTAGGGTTTAGGGTTTAGGGTTTAGGGTTTAGGGTTTAGGGTTTAGGGTTTAGGGTTTGGGGCTTAGGGTTTAGGGTTTAGGGTTTAACCTTTAGGGTTTAGGGTTTATTTAGGGCTTAGGGTTCCAGGAGGCTGGGAGCTTCCGTGCAGAGTTTACGGCTTCGAGGGTTTCGGGGCTTCGGAGCTCCTATCCGGTGGTTTTGGGTTTAGGGTCTAGGGTTAGGGCTTAGGGCTTACTTAGGGTTTAGGGTTTAGGGTTTAGGGTTTAGGGTTTAGGGTTAGGGTTTAGGGTTTAGGGTTTAGGGTTTTAGGGTTTTAGGGTTTTAGGGTTTTAGGGTTTTAGGGTTTTAGGGTTTTAGGGGTTTAGGGTTTAGGGTTTAGGGTTTAGGGTTTAGGGTTTAGGGTTTAGGGTTTAGGGTTTAGGGTTTAGGGTTTAGGGTTTAGGGTTTAGGGTTTAGGGTTTAGGGTTTAGGGTTTAGGGTCTCAGGTTTGGCGGGTTGAGGTCTTAAGGCTTCGTGGCCTCATTCCTTTCCCCGTGTCATTGCAGTCCACCGCCCAGGACTCCTCAAACCCTAAACCCTAAACCCGAAACCCTAAACCCCACACCCTAAACCCCAAACCCCTAAGCTTCAATTCACACAACCAGCTAACAGGTTAAGGCTTGAGGGTTTTCCCCCTGATACTACCCCCCTCCTCTAAACCCTAAACCCTAAACCCTAAACCCTAAACCCTAAACCCTAAACCCTAAACCCTAAACCCTTGCTAGCCCCAGCGGGAACATCCCAAAGTTTGGGGTCTGGGATCTGACTCAGAGTTGAGGGCTTAGGGGACCCTAAGCCCTCAACCCTAGACCCCAAGCCCTAAGCGCCTAAACCCTAAACCCTAAACCCTAAACCGTGAACCCTGAACCCTACACAAACTCTGAGCTCTCGACCACCTCCGCATCCACGGGGTCCAAGACTTTCACCTTGGTAGCCCAGTAACCATCGTATCATCAGGGTACCTTTTTTGGGCTAGGGTTGAGGTTTTAGGGTTTAGAGTTTAGGGTTTAGGGTTTAGGGTCTACGGTCTAGGGTTTAGGGTTTAGGATTTAGGGTTTCGGGTTTAGGGTCTAGGGTTACCAAGTCACCGGCCCTTGCAGTTTGTCCAAGGCCGCCAGGAGCTTCGCTCGCTGCTCAGGGCTCAACTCGGACGCTGTTTCAGACAGCTGCTGCCTGAGCACAACGCTTTAGAGGAAAGGTTTAGGGTTTAGGGTTTCGGGATTAGGGCTTGGGGTTTTTGGGTTTAGAGTTTAGGGTTTAGGGTTCAGGGTTTCGCATTTAGGGATACCTTATTGGGGTCTTTACTATAAGGGAATCCTACTATTTGAGGGTCCATATTTGCGGCCCCATATTATCGTAAACCACCCCCACCCCCACCCCCCCGCCAAACACCCCAGCACTCCGAGAGAAGACCCCAATACTCCTCAATGAAGGGCTGTTCCTTAAAATTCATACAAGGAACCCTAGTATAATTTCAGGAATGTTTCCTAAATTCAAGGGGTATTGGAGTCCCTCAGCTTCTGCTGGCAGGTAAGCTCTCGACACTGACGCTCCCTTGACGTTGTCGGACAGTTTCGTCGATGCTGCTGAACCCATGGCTGTCGAAACCTCTACAAGCACATCAGATGTTGCAGCCGAAATCCGCTCCAGTTTAGGCAGTTTAGGGTTTAGGGTTTAGGGTTTAGGGTTTAGGAATTAGGGTTTAGGGTTTAGGGTTTAGGGTTTAGGCAGTTTAGGCAGTTTAGGGTATAGGGCTCGCTTCTGAGAACTTGCACTTCAAGCAGCTGCCTTTGCCCGAGCCTTTGTCTTGCTGGCCACTTGAACGGCATGAGAACTTACCCATGGCCGGATTCATCTCATGGCAAATCAGAGCTAAAACCCTAAACCCTAAACCCTAAACCCACTGGGTCTGGGAAGCTTTCGCCATGCAGAGGCCAGAGGCCGGAATAGGGCACGGTGCTCGGCGCCTTATGCACACTTCTTGCCTGACGCCTTGGGCGTCGGCTGCAAGCCCTCCGAAGCCACGACCTCTTCCTGCAGCCAGTCTGCAACATCCCTCTGGACGTAGGCGTAGCCCTTGTACTCCAGATACGCAACTTCGGCCTTCTGCGAGTTCCCCAAGCCTTCCGAAGATCTCAAAAACTCCCGATCCTCTTCTGCCAAGGAAGCCAGGAACAAGCGGTGCACCTCGCGCTCATAGGGCGAAGAGCTGTCTGCCCGCGGCTTCTGGGAGAGGCTACCGAGGCCGGCCTCCAAGGCACCTTGGAAGGCCGCAGACTGGGTGAAGATCCGCTTGTGGAGGTCCAGGCTCTCCCGGCGCTTGTTCTCCTCACCCGCGGTGGCAAAGCTGGCGGCCTTTCCTAGGATGGCAGTTTTTTAATGCCTTAAAAGCCCTCTGAAAAAACAAAAAGACTCCTGAAGGTGATCCTCTTAAACCCAACAAAATAGGGAAGATGGGCTAGGATGTCCCTGCAGGGCCCACCGAGCTGCCCTTGCCCACCATGTTGGCAAAGTAGTAGACTTCCAGGACCTGACCCAAGGCCACGGCCTTCTCGACGTTGCGGATCCAGAGCTCAAACCAGCGGCAACCCCAGGGCTTCTGGGTGCCATACCTTAAACCCTAAACCCTAAACCCTAAACCCTAAACCCTAAACCCCCCTTACAACCTCAACAGAGAAGACTCTCTTAAGGCTTTCTGGGGCTGCTTATAAAAGTAGAGATGAGATTTGTAAAAATATTCGTTCTTTGATTCTGAAGAAGCACAAAAAGAATTCCTAACCGGGCGATAGATGCAAGGGCGTGCACCAGCAGGGCCCTTTGAAAGGCTCGCGAGCCGGTATGCTGCTGTGCTTGCCTTGCGGTGGCCCAGTAGCCATCTTACTTACTAAAAAAAACTTCTTGGGGGCTGGTTACTTGTGTAAGGGAACCCAGAACCCCAAAAAGAGTGCAGAAGTACCCCTAAACCCTAAACCCGAAACCCGAAACCCTAAACCCGAAACCCTAAACCCTAGACTCAGCGACCCAAGCTGCCGAACTCAGGCGTGCCATCCGGGAGGAACACCACCGCCGCGCTGACACCACCTCCCCGGGCTGCAGCGACCATGGTGTCCCAGGCTTGCTCGTACCTGGTCTTTGAGGGGCTTTCTTTTTTTGTTTCTGTTTTTTTTTGTGGGGGGGGGGGGGGCACTTAGGGTTTTGGGGTTTAGGGTTTAGGGTTTGGGGTTGAGGGTCTAGGAATTATGGTTTGGGTTTTAGGGTTTCAGGTTTTGGGCGTTGCTTGGTACTGCTCAAAGACTTCCCCGGCCACGAGCAAACACAGGCTCGGCCTTTCTCCTGGACGACCTTGCCTTTGAAGACAATGCTCCGCACACGCACCCGGGCTTCCGCCTCGCAGAGCTTTTTCTTCCAATTTGCAGCAGCCACCACCCCTTCTCCCAGACCCCAATAGCACGAGTAGCAGACCCCTGGCCAAATCAAAAACATCGTCCACCAATATCCGTGAAGGTGGTGCTGCACGGTCATCGTGACCAGCAGAAGCAAGGCCAGGAGCCCCAGAAGCAGCACCAGCATGTTCCAAAACCATCCGTCTCTGCCGTAGGCATACTCAGCGTGCCCCTTTGGCAACTGGGCAGTGCTTGAAACCCTCGTTGACATGAAGCAGATGGTGCAGAAGCTCAAGGAGAGCGCAAAGAAGCTGAGGAACGCTGCGCCGATGCAACTTTGCGGTGGTATGCCTGCAACACTCGTGAGGATCGCCAAGGGCAGGCAGACGCAAAGCAAGAAAGGGCAAACGGCATCGCCTTCCTTAGTTGTCTTCTTGTCATTTCCATGCACTTTCAAAGCTTGGTCGGGGCGTGGCTGTGTGATCCTAAACCCTAAACCCTAAACCCTCAAGCCTACACCCCTTGATAGAGAGAGTTGCTAATCTTGGTACACTTCTGGGAAAGTCTCAAGATGCGGCACCCATCGAAATCCCAGATCTTAACCCCGCTGAGGCCTAAACCCCCAAGGGTTTAGGGTGTAGGGATTAGGGTTTCGGGTTTGGGGTTTAGGGTTCAGGGTTTAGGATTGAGGGTTTAGGATTTAGGGTTTAGTAGGAGCCTGCTTCCTTGGAGGTTTATGGTACTGATAAACCCACTTATAAGCCCCTTAAGTGCCCTAATATGGTTATAAGTACAGTTATTCTTGGATAATAAGTACCATGAACCTCCCAAGTAAGCCCCTGAAACACCAAGCGACCCGAAACCATGTACCATAGGGGCCGTAATGATTAGAATAGGGGTTTGGCTGCCTTGAAAGTGTAATGATACAGGGACCAAAAAAGAACACTATGAGGACTTACTACCCCTAAACCCTAAACCCTAAACTCGGGCAAGGCCACCGCTTGAACTGTTGCAAGTAGTTCGACTCGGCCGCCTCTGGAAGAAGCCTCCTTGCAGCTTTCCGCTTCACGGCGCCTACGAGCTTCCATCTGCCTCTCAGTCTGGGCATCTGCCTGCGGTTTAGGGTCTAGGGGTTTGGGGGTCTGGGGTTTGGGGTTTCGGGTTTAGGGTTTGGGGTTGAGGGTTTAGGGTTTAGGGTTCAGGGTTCAGGGTTTAGGGTGTAGGGCGCCTTAGGTTGAGGCTTCGAGTTTTTGAAGGTCCAAGGGCTCAGGCAAAGTTTTTGGGTTTATGGCAAAGCTGCCTCCAACCTCTCCCGCTTGTCCCGGAGGACTGCCTCACCTCAGCAACTGCTAGGTGAAGCAGAGAATACGGGACAGCTCGAGTTATTCAGAGTGTTGAGGGGCTCAAGTTTCTCATGGAAGGCTGAAATGGACACCTCCCCTCTCGCGATGGACAACCGCCCCCCAAACTTGTAAAGGTATCGGTGCCATTCACTCCCGGGCAGCCAGTTTACACGGCAAACGAGTGACCTTGCACAGCCTGAACTTTGAACTCCAAACCGAAAGGTCGTCTCCTGCGCCTGCGCATGGGGATAGTTTGTGAATTCTTGTGCAGCTAGAATCAAGAGCCAGCGCTGTCGCAGGCCCGGACCCCTCCGTGCTACAGGCCTATGTCGTTGTTGGTGGTTCCTAACCCTTTGTCGCGGATTCATCCCTTCCATGATGCATGGGAACCCATGGCATCAAAACACCATGTAGATCTTTAACGGTTCCAGCCGCGGTCCTGAAGTTGTTGCGTCTCACGGCTTAGAAACTACAACGACCTACGAGTAAGCAATGGCAAATGCGTGGAATGGACTGGTGTTGCAGCGTCGCCGCCTTGACGCAGGGGGCTTGTCGCGGACGTCCGCTGTCGGTTCCGGACTTTCCAGGATTTGGGCTGTCAGACAAACCTGAAAGAGGGAAACCTCCATATAGCAACGCCTGCCTGAAGGGCTTTCATAGCCTTCTTATGCCGCGAAATGGCCGCCCAAACCTGTTATAAACCCGATGTTCCTGGCTCACTGCCACAGGCACGTAGAGAGAGATCACTTGCAACGGATGAAATCTGGAGGTTTCTGTGTATGGACTCCGAAGGCCCTCATATCTTTCACGCACGTTCGGAAGCACAGGTTGGCGGATGTTCTGTATACAGAGTTTTTGAAATAGACGCTGTCACTTGCAGCAGGCTGAAGCAAAGATGGTGCCCCCCTGAAGGTGGAGGTGCAGTCCATCTTGTTGGGATCTGCGCCCATGTGCCACACGCCCCTGTCGTTATATTGCGGCTGTGGCCCTAGCCATCGTAAACTTCAGAGCTTGGGGCCTCATTTATGCACCGTGAGGGTCTTCACAGTCCTACCCCTGGAATTTTTTCTCGGATCTGGGGGCTCCTCTCCTCAAAGGGGGCCCTTGAGGTGGGTTCTCTACTCGGTCTTCCCGAAAGTTAATTGGGGCAAAAGCGAAAACTGCTGATGAACTGTTCATGCAGATGCTGTACGTACCTTGTACATACACTCCAGACTCCGTGGATTCTGGCGCCCAAAGTTCCACAGACTTGCGAATGGAGCACTTCGCGTAGAAGAACAAAAAAAACATCTGGTTGGGGACTGTACGGTACTGCTGCACTTCTCAAGAAGATGTCAGGTACAGCAGGATAAATTCACAGACGCGCGCGCACCCACTCAACCTTTGACCTTGGGGTTCGACCTCGACTAAGCTGCACCCCAGATATCGAACGTACACTCCAAGGCTGGATGTTGACTTCATCTGCGCAAAAGCCGATGACACAAAATATCTTTGACACAACCTACTGCTGAGCTGTGTTCGAGAGATTGTAAAAGGTGCAGGAGAAGCTGAAACCTTGGGAAGATCTCAAGTGCCCCCCCCCCCGGCACTTAACAAAAAACGCCTCGGACAAAAGTGGGAAATTTTAGCCCGGAGCCCTGGACCCCCTACTCCCTAACCCCATTCCCGAAACAGCGACGCCCAGGAGTGTCCAATGCCCACAAAAGTATCCCTCGAGCCTGTGTGGAGCTAGCTTTTGCGATACGCGAGACTTCACGGATGCCAGCTTTGTCGGAGATGCCTCCAAGTGACGACTGAGATCCTGGAGGTCCCTCGAGGCGCGAAGCGAGGAACGAAGCATGCCTTTTGATGAGGCGCAGTGAAGGTGGCAAGCCACGTCAGCGTCTTCGCGCAGCCGGACCGAGACCGCTCCTCACGGGCGTGACTGGGCTTAGGAGTACAGGGCTTAGGGGTTTAAGGTTTTGGGTCGAACTGAAGCTGCGTGATTCGACTCTATTGCTGAGACATGAAAAACTCAAGCAGCCCCTCTTCCCTTTCTGCGGTTCTGGGTTCCCTTCTAAAGAAATCTTTGTGGTGCTTTACTGTAACTTTAGATCCTTAGCTTCTTGGGGTTTATTGGGTTTATTGGGTTTCTTAATATGGCAGCGAAAAATTTAGTTTTTAGCTACCATTCTGAGTGCAGCCAAGAAATGGTCATCCTTCTTGTAAGATGGTTAAAAGGCTCTTGAGAAACCCGACTAAACCCTAAACTTAACCCGCGACCGTAAACCGAGGGGTGTTAAAAGTGGTTTGCTGGGAGTTGTAGGGCTTGTAGTGGGGTTTGTGGAGTTTAGGTCGGGGTTTTCGAGAGGATTGTGGGTTTAGGGCTTAGGTTGCCGGCATTCATTGCTTTGGGGGGGGGGGGGGTGTTCGAGGTTTACAGCGTCGAACGAGCGATTGGGAAACCAAAGCGCGTGACGCCCTAGGTTCTGAGTAGGAAACCTCTACGAAACATTTCCGCGGGTACTACAACGCACCTGAGAAATCAGCCAGCGACCCCGACACACCAAAACCTTAACTTACGGGCAAGAGAGCTTCAGACAGTTTTGTTTAAGGCTTTCGATCCCCTAGGCATCCGGTTCGAGAGGCTTATCTGGCAAGGTGCTTTCGTTGGGGATATCCTACCAGTAAGACGAATGACCTAGATGTTGAGTCCCCCTGGGCCCTCAAGTGCAGCCTTTCGCCACCTTCCAGCAATCACTAAACCCCAAAACCCATGTAGAGGCGACCCTCTGGCAATGGCCCAAGGGTCCGTCTCGGTCCGTCAGGTCCAGTTCTCGTCCTGGGTAAAGGACCTGCTCGTAATGCGCTCTCATCACGACAACGAGGACGACGATGATGATGATGATGGTGGTGGTGGTGATGATGATGCTGATGATGATGATTGCGAGAATGATGATGATGATGATCATGAGGATGCCTACTGCATCCATGGATATTGCTGCTCCAGGGAAGACTGTTTCTGCAATTAGACAGGGACGTATTGAAAACACTGATAACTATGCTTGGCAGAAGTGAACCTGCCAGCTGTGGCCCATGTCGACCTCGAGCGGGGCGTCGAGATCATTGTTCAGGGAGGGTCTGGCAACGCGGCCGCCCATGGCAGCAAACGGTCTAACACATGGACATGATCCCTAAACTCCTAGAATCAGACCTGCAACCCTCCCTCACCATCAGCCCCCAAGGCGCCTCGAGAAAGCGCACCATAGTGTAAAAAGACTCATGACGAGGCCAGCTAGCTTGATGTCAACTCCTGCAGGCAAGCCACAACAGCAAAAATACACATTCGAGACGAAGCCCCATCAATACCACCATGGGACCCACCATGGGACCCAAGTGCAGCGCTCGATCTTCAAGTGACGATTACTGCGCTTTGGAAAGTTGTTTGGGCATTGGCTTCCTTGCAAATAGCAACGGCCCCCGAATTCGGGAACTTACAGACCTAGCGAGAATAACAGCAACCCTCGCAGTGGAACCTGTTTAAAGGATCTTGGGGCTCAGGCTTCAGGATCTAAATCTGGGATGATGGCCAACATGAAGTCAAAAACACACATTTTTGGTTTAAATATTTTGCAGCTTGGGCAAACACCCTTTTTGGCTCAGTTTTTTGGGTCAAGCGGGTGTTGTGCCCCTTTCAGTCATTTTGGGCTTGGGCCAACAAAGTCGTGTTGAGAGTTCCTTTTCGGAAATTGAAGTGGTGTTGTAACGCCCTAGTCAATCAAGCTCTTCATCGAGTCTATTTTCGCATGGAGAAGGATGTACCTCTTCACTTCAACGTCAAGGCACTTCAGAACGATCATGCTCTTGTCCACTTCGACAACGCAAGGTCCGGGAAGGAGGACACTAAGCGACTGTACTTCGCAAGCTCAACTTGAACGTTGCGGTAGGCATCCAAAGGACGATCTTTGGTGGACTTCGGTGGTTGGTATCTAAGGATTTCTTCCCGCAGTGATGAAGCTTCAATCCTGGAGCAAACTGACAGATCCTGGTGAAGACGCCGCATGGCCTCGTACCCTGCTGGCGCACCCAACTGCTCACGCTCAATCTGCTTCAGGATATCCAATCCACGTGGGAAATTCGCAAAGGACTGACGCAGGTACAGAAACACTCTGGTGCGTCGCACGCTCTCATCTTTGCTCAAGTCTTTATTCAGGATTTGTCTATCCTTCGCAATGCATTGCTGGACTTCGGATGGGATGCGGTCATCAAACAGGGCAATCCAAGGCAGAAAAACTTCCATGTACTCCACTCATACTTCGATTTCCGAACGCCTGCCTTTCGACATGCGCGAACCATCCAGCATGGGAAGCTTCAATACACAACTCTCTGCCTTTGGATTCCTTAAGCGCTCCATCGTCCACTTCCATTGCTTGGTCAGCACTGCTGCTTCCCACCAGAGACATCGAAGCTGCTTGTACTGCTGCAGCGCTGTCCTCCCAGACCTGGTGGAGTCATCAGAGGTGGCTGCAACGGTGTGGCGACTCCCCGCGAGGCACTTCCAACGCTTCCCTGTGGCATCACAGGGCTTGCTCCAGCTGCTCCCTGTGCCGAAACAACGGAGCTTCCACGCTACCACATAAAAGACCAAAGTCACGCACAAGACAAGCAACTCACTCGTGTTCCAAACTACCAAGTGCAATTACCCTTCACGTCACACAGCTCACAGGCACTCCAAACACTTCTTTTAGCTTTCTCACGCTCACACGAGACTCCGGTCTTGAGCCAAACAACATGCGTGTGCATGTGGGGCTTTTCAATTTCAGAAATCGAATCTTAAATTGTGGGCGCACAAAAAGCAATCTTGGCGCCGCTTGTAGGGGGCCTCTCGATGACCATAGCATGTCAGGGCCGATGCGCTCCTGTTCCGCATCTGTCGTCTTTCTATCGTTTTGGGTCGTTTTTTCTGTCGTCTTTCTTTGCAATCAACTGCAGGACAAGCCGAGTTCAACTGTCGTCTTGATACGTGCGAGCGCAGCGAAACATGGAGCACGTTCAACATAATCCCCTGATCAAGTTTTGATGAATTTTGGCAGTTCTGATATTTTGATTTTTTTCAGGCCCGCAGAACAAGCCTCACAGTTGCAAGTCGTTACTTGTGTTCAAGCAACTTACAGGGCCGCACATGTTAACTGCACTTATCGGCGATGAACCTGCATTCAAGAGCAATTGAAATGCTGGCAGTGTGACCGAACCCAGCAACACTGACGAATTTTGGTTCACTTCCCATCCGGATTGTGGGCTGGCAAAATGCGGCAATGATGGCATTATTTTGTTTTAATGCCCTTGTTGCTGAGACCAATAAAAACAAGAACCTACCGGCACCACTCACTCAGCTGCCCGACACCCTGCGCCACGTCAGACATTAAGCGAAAGTACGGGTAGGCCCCGTCACCTAAACTGCTTAACACGTCCGCAGAGTCCCACACAAGCGCCAGGGCCGTAGCAACCCACACAAGCGCCAGGGCCGTAGCAAAAGCACAGCCACCACCACGTGCTGTGAGGGCGCAAACTCATTCTGATACGAGCACACAGAGGCCAACTGCTTTGAGTTAAGCACTTCCTCGACGTTCTCGCTGCTGCAGAGGCCCTTGTAGCAGCCAGTTTTGCAATGATTACTGTAAAGCACATTTCTTTTGTCAGCGCAGCTCTTATGGAGGCGACTTGGCTTTTTGCTGCCAACTTGAAACAAGCCTGCTGAGACGTTAATGTTGCGCGCGACGCCCAAACCGAACCGTTTTGAAAAGGCAAAGTATCTTTCCACAATGTAAATAAGTGCGAGCAAACCGAGCAACACGTTGAAGAAAAAGACTGACAATAAACAAAAGTGTCCAACAACCATTGAAAAGCAGGCTTGACAACAAATTTGACAGAGAACCCAAAACTTTGATATGGTGTCTTATCTTAGCAAGTCAGATCAAGGGAAAAGGTCTTAACACCACTTGCAGAAAAAATTAGACCAAAACAAAGAGTTAAGACCACTTTGAAAACCCACAAAACCTTTGAACCAAAGGGTCTTAACACCATTTTTAAGGTCATCTGAAGAGTATCTGAACACCACTTGAAGAAAAACCCAAAATTTTAAATCAAGGTGTTTTCCCAAAGAGTGTATCAGCGTCATTTTTAGTCCAGATCAAGGAAAAAAGATGTCTCAACACCACTTTGAAAACCGTCTGAAGACACTTTGACAGAAAAAAACCAAAAAAATGTCTTAACAATCTTTTCAAGATTAACCACGCGGAATTTGCAGAAAGTGAAGATTGGTAAATCTGACATGTGGGTCTTACTGTGGAGGTCACGTGACGCGTCCTACGTTTCTTATGTTTTTTTGGGTCTTGAAACTGCACTCAAGTGATGAGACATATGCAGCATGGTTCTTTAATCGCCTCGACAAGTGTCGTCAGAAAAGATCAATGCTTTCTAGAGACAGGCAGATCATCAGGTTGACATTTCGCTGTTCAATGTTGGAAAGTTATTTGACAGGTTGTGACTGCTCCCACCTCCGCCCATGCAACTGAAACCCCAGTCTTCTGCCAACATTGAACAGCAGATTGTCGAAGCAAAAGCTGCAGGAAAACTGTCACTTTTAGAGCGTGAACGCGCGAGACACGAGCTTCTACGCAGAAAAGTTGGACCCTTTTTTTAAAGCAAAAACAATTTTGAAAAAGGTCCAACTCTACGATTTTCGGCTTCCAAGTCCGTTTTTGGCAATCACTTTGCAACTGCAGCATTCCCACAGGTTTCGCACGGGGTTTTGCTTCCCGCCTCACCTCAAATCTGCGGCTGCTTCACAGCCTGCCCACGGTCTTTGATTCACCTCACTGCCGGCTCTTTGCTTCCCAACTTACCCCAGTACATTCTTTCGGGCTCTTTGCTTTCCACCTCACCCAAGGCCTCTTTGCATTCCATCTCGGGCATGAAAGCTACAACGTGAGACACTTTCCAGCACGAAGAACACAAAAAATGAAAGCGCCGGGACCTCTCAGAGCTTCTCGACATGTGTCTTGGTGAACTTTTATAAAAATCAACACGGACCGCGAGCAGGTGCTCTTCAAGAAGTGAGACCAGGCGGCGCTCATCACATAGCAGCGAAAGATCACGTAGGCAAGCAAGCAGCTGGGCATAAAGACGCTTGTACCAGATGCTGATCGTGGTGATTTTGCGGCTCCCACCATTCTAACCCCAAAAACGCTCTTACTTTGAAAAAGCTAATCTGCTCAGATGCCCAGAAATCCTCTCTTGAACAACCCATGCAATGAAGCAAAGGGAAGAAACCAAATCTTCTCTTGCTCCAAGAGATGAATGCTCTGAGTTTTTGAAGCGGACGCCCCTTTACCACATCAGCAGCACAGTGGGCCGGTCTATTGTGACGAGGTGAGACGGTCGAGCCACATGGAGGAGCAACACAGCAAACCAAACAAAACACCACACCCAAAAGAAAGCAACCACAATCAAATCCTACGGTGGAACGCCCTCTCTCAGAACACGAAGAGGTCGTGGTAGACCAGTAGTGGCAGAATTCGTGCCGTGTTGAAAGAGCACAGAGCGCGGAGCGCGGTTCGCAAAATGCGAACTATTTGCCAGATCAAAACCACCTTCCATGCAAATCCGGTTTTTCCCCTCGTCCTTCTTACACGTTACTGCCAAGCATTTTCGTTGTCACCTCGGTGGGAGGCCCGCGATGCCGATGTTGCCGTTGTCCAGATTGAGAGGGAAAGTCCGGACCGCGACAAGCGCCTCAGCCCGGCTTCTGGTTGAAATACAGCTTAGACCAAGCGCCATCAAAGGGGCTTTTATTCTTATTTGCACCAACAGCGAAGCCTTTGTGAGATGCCCAGTGTGCCGTTACGGCATCGCACCACTCCCTTTTCTTTTGAGGGGGGACCTTTTGCTGGGAAAAGGGACAAAGCTCTGCCAATGCGCGCTGTCCATGGAAGGGAACTGGAACGGCACACACAGATCCACTTCGCAGGGTGGCCAGTGGTTTCAAGCTCTGGGCTTGCAATTGTGACAAGGTTCCACGACAGTTGGCAGATCGGAAGTAAGGCTCGTTGCCCTGACTTTTTGTGGCTCGGATTGCCCGCGCCTTGGACAAGGAGGGCAA